TAGGATAGGATCGGATAAGGTATGATAGGATAGGATCGGATAAGGTATGATAGGATAGGATATGATAAGGTATGATAGGATAGGATAAGGTATGATAGGATATGATAAGGTATGATAGGATAGGATAGGATAAGGTATGATAGGATAGGATCGGATAAGGTATGATAGGATAGGATAAGGTATGATAGGATAGGATAGGATACGGTATGATAGGATAGGATCGGATAAGGTATGATAGGATAGGATCGGATAAGGTATGATAGGATAGGATCGGATAAGGTATGATAGGATCGGATAAGGTATGATCGGATAAGGTATGATAGGATCGGATAAGGTATGATAGGATAGGATCGGATAAGGTATGATAGGATAGGATCGGATAAGGTATGATAGGATCGGATAAGGTATGATAGGATAGGATCGGATAAGGTATGATAGGATAGGATAAGGTATGATAGGATAGGATCGGATAAGGTATGATAGGATAGGATCGGATAAGGTATGATAGGATCGGATAAGGTATGATAGGATCGGATAAGGTATGATAGGATCGGATAAGGTATGATAGGATAGGATCGGATAAGGTATGATAGGATAGGATCGGATAAGGTATGATAGGATAGGATCGGATAAGGTATGATAGGATAGGATCGGATAAGGTATGATAGGATAGGATCGGATAAGGTATGATAGGATAGGATCGGATAAGGTATGATAGGATAGGATCGGATAAGGTATGATAGGATAAGATCGGATAAGGTATGATAGGATAGGATCGGATAAGGTATGATAGGATAGGATCGGATAAGGTATGATAGGATCGGATAAGGTATGATAGGATAGGATCGGATAAGGTATGATAGGATAGGATCGGATAAGGTATGATAGGATCGGATAAGGTATGATAGGATCGGATAAGGTATGATAGGATCGGATAAGGTATGATAGGATCGGATAAGGTATGATAGGATCGGATAAGGTATGATAGGATAGGATCGGATAAGGTATGATAGGATAGGATCGGATAAGGTATGATAGGATCGGATCGGATAAGGTATGATAGGATCGGATCGGATAAGGTATGATAGGATCGGATCGGATAAGGTATGATAGGATAGGATCGGATAAGGTATGATAGGATCGGATCGGATAAGGTATGATAGGATCGGATCGGATAAGGTATGATAGGATAGGATCGGATAAGGTATGATAGGATAGGATCGGATAAGGTATGATAGGATAGGATCGGATAAGGTATGATAGGATAGGATCGGATAAGGTATGATAGGATAGGATCGGATAAGGTATGATAGGATAGGATCGGATAAGGTATGATAGGATAGGATCGGATAAGGTATGATAGGATAGGATCGGATAAGGTATGATAGGATAGGATCGGATAAGGTATGATAGGATAGGATCGGATAAGGTATGATAGGATAGGATCGGATAAGGTATGATAGGATAGGATCGGATAAGGTATGATAGGATAGGATCGGATAAGGTATGATAGGATAGGATCGGATAAAGTATGATAGGATAGGATCGGATAAGGTATGATAGGATAGGATCGGATAAGGTATGATAGGATAGGATAGGATCGGATAAGGTATGATAGGATAAGATAAAACAAGATCTGATTAGATAGATATAGGATAAGACCGGATATAATAGGATAGGATAGCATGGGATAGGATAGCATGGGATAGGATAGCATGGGATAGGATAGCATGGGATAGGATAGCATGGGATAGGATAAGATAAGATAGAGTAAAAAGGTTGTGTGTTAGTTAAGAAGTACGTGTCATAGACTACTGGGAGAGTGGGTGGGGGGAGGGGGAGGGACGTGACTAAGCTAACGGTGTTGTATGCTAGCCAGGAACTACACGTTTCTGAAGAGAGAGAGAGAGGGGAGAGAGAGAGAGAAAGGGGGTGGGGGAGTGTGGTATGCTAGCCCCAGGCTACACGCTTCTATTTTCATCCCTGTGTGAGCATTACCTGTGATGTTTTCCGATGTGTGGCACCTGGGTTTTTCGAGTTATTTAAGCCTATGCACCTGAGCGTTGTAGCATACGGAAAGGTGTTTTTCATGCTGGCATTTCCAGACTTGTGATTGTGTTGTGTTTCTTTTCGTCAACCGTTTCTAAATTGTTACGTATAGAACTTTCTTTGGTAAGTCTTCGTATGTAAATATACATAACTCTTATCTTCTCTCCTGTCGTTTATCCGGGGGCTACCTGGTCGCGAGGCATGGTGTCTACCTCCAGTGCTGGTTTCTGGGTTCAATCCCCGGAAAGGGCTGGAATTTTGTCACGTGGACTTGGACTTCTCGTAATTCCACCTGGTCTCTGGGTAGTGAGATCGGACACCCGTGTGCATTGTTGCGCACGTAAAATATCCCTTGGCAGTTAGAAATCGAAAAGAGTAGCCTAACGGCGCTGCCCGGGCAAAATTTGGAGATAAAAATATATCCAAAGTATTTCAGGATGCTCGCTAGTGCTACAGAGCCTGTGCACTGTGCTGAGCATCTTCGGACTCAGACTTGAGTTAGAAGTAAAAAGGAGCACTTACGGGTTACTACCGTTGTGCCATGATGTTGGTCCGTTGTTTAAACCGAAACCAAACCAAAAGCGATTAACACGATGGGATGGGGTTTACATCTCTTCTGCGATATATCGCCTTTCGCCCAAGACACTTTCGATTTCTGCGGACACCTTTCAATATGTATTTGCTAGGGGCACCGGCCAGGCGCGTCACAACAATGAAAATATAGATGAGGGAGAGCTCAGAACCCCTCCCTAACTTGAGGTTTACAAATCTACTATGATCTGATAAAATGTCACCAAAATGTGATTATTTTTTCATCACAAAATCCATTTCCTTTCCCGCATACAGATGTGGCTAAAATTCACGCACAGACACCGCATGTCTCTCTCACCCCAGCCCTACTTTAATCTGATATATCCGTCGTCAAAACATGATTTTTTTTAATCACACCCTTTTCCCATTTCTGACATATATATATATATATATATATATATATATATATATATATATATATATATATATATATATATATATATATATATATATATATATATATATATATATATAAGGACTTCTGAAATTCATGTATGGAATGCGCATGTATTATCCCACCATAACAGGGCTTATTATTTTCTCATAGGTATATATATATATATATATATATATTAATTATTGCCATGACAACCTGCCAAGACGCGCACGTTATCCGAGAAAACATCATTATAGCAGAGAACTAGTTATTACCGGAACCCGCTCAATCACAACCGAAAAGGAATCGTCCATGTTCTAACATTTTGTTTATGTTTATATATATTGATAAAGCTGGTATGTTTACTTTCACTGTATGTGAAACTGTATCCAGAAGGCTTGTTAGCTTCAGGGGCATGTTTGTTTATCATTTCATGTATGTGAATTGTATTGATAATGGCTAGTATGTTTATTTTCACTGTATGTTAAATTGTATCCAGAAGGCTGTTTAGCTTCAAGTGCATGTTTGTTTATCACTTCACTGTGTGTGAAATTGTATTGATATTGCTGGTTGTCTTCATGTGTGTTCTCTCTTTCTTTCCCTGAGTCTACAATAATACAGTATTTAAGTTCTCCTCACTGTTTGACTTCACTACCTATAGTTTATATGACAGTTATGGTCAAAGTGACTCTAAGAATGTTTGACCTATGGGTGCTGATGATCGTGTTTCTCCTCACCCCTGGCTTTCCATTGTACTTATATCTTGCCTACTAGATGTCTGCACTTTTTATATCCCCTATCTCTTTTATACTTCCCTTAACTCTTTCAGTCCCAAAAGGTTGTAGCTAATATCTGATTGGGGAATAATTAAAGCAGCAAAAGGATAGGTGTACTACATCCGCAAGACCTTAACAGACAATCATTAAAGAAAACAGATGTATCGTAGTTCTGGAGTATGCCCTGACTTATTATACAATGTGCAAACATACATAGCAATTCGACTGGCGCACATGAGTAATATCCAGTCACTTGTAGGGCGTTGTTTGGTACTCAAAGAGTTAAGCTTCTGTGCAAGCTGTCTCAAAGGTGTGTTCTTAACCCCCTGGCTTTCCATTGTACTTACATTATATCTTGCCTACTAGATGTCTGCACTTTTTATATCCCCTATCTTTTTTATACTTTCCTTAAGCTGCTGTGCAAGCTGTCTTAAAGGTGTATTCTTAACCCCCATGCCCTCACACGTCCATTTTTTTTTCATTATCTAAATCTTTCCCTGCGGGGCTTATTTTTTTCTAAAAGAAAAGTGCCAGCACTCACCACAGAATGTCTACAGAAGGTGCAGGTGCTCACCACAAAGAGTCTGCTATGATATAGCTGACAAAATAACCCCTACTCCCAAAGGTACCAGTATGGCATATTGATGCTTACTGCCAGAGAAAGCCCTGCTTCTGTTCCTTCGCTAAGGGACTCTGTGCTTCACTCTGTTTCTCAAGAGCCCTCTATAACTACCCTGCTTAATGTTTCTACACCACTCACTTGCTGCTTGATGTTTCTACACCACTCAATTGTCTGTAAACATTGCTCCCTATCCATTTATGATCCCTTCCATCTATTTCTAGCTTATCATGATCTATTTACAGGTCCCTCACTTGCTCTCTCTATACCACTCGCTTTTCTCTCTTTCTTTCCCTGTATCTAATTATATGCATCTCTCTCTTTCTTTCTCTCTCTACACACAAACATCGACTGTACACATACACATATCTTTGTCTGTATCTTTCTGCCTGTGTATCTCTAGTCCCCTCTCTAGGGATTTTTGTCAGACACTCCTATCCCCTCTCTCTCTCTCTCTCTCTCTCTCTCTCTCTCTCTCTCTCTCTCTCTCTCTCTCTCTCTCTCTCCCTCTCTTGCTCTCTTTCCCTCCTTCATTCGCTAAAATTGTCATCTTATCTCTATGTTCAAAATTATATTCTCTCTGTTTCAGGGCAACTGATTTCTGAGACTGTGTCCAGCATGGACTTTGACATACCAGATGACATAGGTAAGCCTAAGCTGTGTCTCAGTGGTTATGTGTTTTTTTTCATGTATAGAATGAGTCAGAAATATGTTATGGACACATTTTACGTCTCTCCGGAGGATAGTTTTATATGATACCACAGAGAGGCATGGAAGCCACAGCAAGAACAGCTACTGTTTATAAAAAAAGTCTCCCATGGTTAGGGCATAGAATTTTAAGACCACCTTGGCCATCAGATGTGCTCAGCTCTTAGCTTTGCTGCAATAATTTTCTCCCTTATCCCTATTCCCTTCCCGGATCCCAGCCACCCCCTTTCCAGTCCATGCAACTTGATTCATGGCATCCTATTCCAGGGAATCCACATCAATACCTGTATCATTCATGTCCTGTATCATTATATCATAGTGAGCTTCCACATCTTCTCATCATCATCATGCAGAACGTCGCTCTCATCACGGCGGTCTGCCTGAAAGAAACTCGGTCACTCGCCAGCTCTCCGGCCTCATGTACTTTCATTTTCATACTCAAGGAGTCACTTATATCCTGTGCCCATCTTCAGCCCCTGCCTCTCCTTCCTGGTACCATGCCTTCTGCTATAATTTGTTCAAATCGTGGCGCTTGATATGACCAAAATATTTCATCTTCCTAGACAGGATGCTGTTTATTAATCTTCCTTGATGTTCAGATCTTTCAAGATGTCAGTATTTCTCCTCTTTTTCATCTAAGATTGTCTGAGAATCTTTCTATAGCATTTCAGCTCAAATCCACATCTTCTACCGGTCTATAATGCATGATACACAAGGTCGCTAGGGATTCTGTCAGAAATATGACTACATGTTTAATTGCACATCTTATGACATTGCAGTAGTATGACTTCAAAAGTGAGAACATTGGAAAGGCAGTCTCATTTCTCTATCTCATTTCTTTTTACTTGCTTATTGTTCTGAAAACCACATTGCATAGTTTTCTTCTTCTTTCTTCTTCAGCATTTTGTTGTGGTTTGCTACTAGGCTGTGACGTCTGTGCCTGTCTACCAACACATCTGATTTCGTCAGACCCCTTAATTAGTATGCTCGTTAAGGAGCAGTGGGTATACCCTCTCCCCCCAGCATGGCACCCCGGAACCCATATGGGGAAGTGGCGTAATTAGCATCCTGTCCTGCCAAGTGAATTGTCTATGATTACTGCCCAGAAGTGGCAGGATTTTTTTATGACCAGCAGAACTCTGGGGCTAATACAGGAAATATATAAAACCAAACGAAAAGTAGATCAGCAAGCTTCACAACATAATTAACATAAATGGAAAGTGAACATTGCGTCTACAGAGCCTTCATCAGCCCAATATATAAGTAAAACCACACAAATAGACAGAATCACTTAACTGATATATCCTAAAGCAGCCATGTTGACATCTTGCCAGTGTAATGATATGGCATGTGAATAAATAGCCAGATAAATCCAAGGACCCGAACTCTAAAATTTTAGATAAAACTGTTGACAATTCAGTCCCTAGGTGTTTGTTTACCCAAGGTAAGGTACCCGACTGTCACAAGACAATGGTGTCATATGTCTTTATTAGGGTTGCCCCTAATAATAATAGACACTCTGAAGTGATTTAATGTTGAAATGACGGCTTGGGTTGGTTTAAAGGTACTCCGTAGCTCCAACGACCATCCAACATCACTTCAGGGATGAGGCAGCTCAAATCATAGACTCCACAGAATTCATGCTATTCCTGGGCACAACTTGGCCAGACTTCCTCACCACTTGTTAGCCCCCAGACTGGATATGATCTTCATACCAGTAAAAAAACAATATCAATTGGGATCTAATCTAAGAATAATGCACACATAAACTTAACCAAAGTGAACTGTTAAACACCAGATACGAACAATAAGACCAACAATAGTAAGTTCCATATAACAAAACATAATGTAATAATCAAACAATTGTGAAGAATCTCACGGGAATAATATTGAAGAAATGACAAAAAGAACAGCAGTATCCAATAAAGATCCACATTAGTCAAGAATGACCCCTGATCTGCCAACAGTCACTGTTGTGCTCATCATGGCACTGGTTGAGTAACGAGGTAGAGTTAACAGTGGGCACTAAGTGCCCGGGTGGCTGTACCCTCAGTTCACAAAGGAAATACTTAACCGCAGATATAAATTACCCGCTTCTCTCCTCAGTCCATATGGGGAAACTCATCAATCACAGGTTTGAACATGTTGATAAGGGACAGTTCTTTAACTAAGTGATCACTGAATATATATCTGCTTAATATTCCTAATGTTTCTCTAAAAATTACTATTGTCATTAAGTTGTAGGGATAGATACCCTTTAGGTTAAAAATTTTCTAGGAACAGAGTTCCAAAATATAAATGTGTTCAGGCTTAAGCTGGTGGCACTGGATGATGATGGATTTGCATCAGCTGTCATCGGGCATGCGTGACACCAAAGGTCACCTATTCAAGTGTTGACCAGGAGACTGTTCTACAGGACCCACATGTATCTGGATGCTAGAGGCTGGTAAATGGTCTACAAAACCCACATGTATCTGGATGCTAGAGGCTGGTAGATGGTCTACAAAACCCACATGTGTCTGGATGCTAGAGGCTGGTAGATGGTCTACAAAACCCACATGTGTCTGGATGCTAGAGGCTGGTAGATGGTCTACAAAACCCACATGTATCTGGATGCTAGAGGCTGGTAGATGGTCTACAAAACCCACATGTATCTGGATGCTAGAGGCTGGTAGATGGTCTACAAAACCCACATGTGTCTGGATGCTAGAGGCTGGTAGATGGTCTACAAAACCCACATGTGTCTGGATGCTAGAGGCTGGTAGATGGTCTACAAAACCCACATGTATCTGGATGCTAGAGGCTGGTAGATGGTCTACAAAACCCACATGTATCTGGATGCTAGAGGCTGGTAGATGGTCTACAAAACCCACATGTATCTGGATGCTAGAGGCTGGTAGATGGTCTACAAAAACCCACATGTGTCTGGATGCTAGAGGCTGGTAGATGGTCTACAAAACCCACATGTATCTGGATGCTAGAGGCTGGTAGATGGTCTACAAAACCCACATGTATCTGGATGCTAGAGGCTGGTAGATGGTCTACAAAACCCACATGTGTCTGGATGCTAGAGGCTGGTAGATGGTCTACAAAACCCACATGTATCTAGATGCTAGAGGCTGGTAGATGTTCTACAAAACCCACATGTATCTGGATGCTGGAGGCTGGTAGATGGTCTACAAAACCCACATGTATCTGGATGCTAGAGGCTGGTAGATGGTCTACAAAACCCACATGTATCTGGATGCTGGAGGCTGGTAGATGGTCTACAAAACCCACATGTATCTGGATGCTAGAGGCTGGTAGATGGTCTACAAAACCCACATGTATCTGGATGCTAGAGGCTGGTAGATGGTCTACAAAACCCTCATGTATCTGGATGCTGGAGGCTGGTAGATGGTCTACAAAACCCACATGTATCTGGATGCTGGAGGCTGGCAGATGCCAGAGGTAGCTTGTAGCTGATTGCTGATGGTTGGTGAGTGGGTGGTGGCAGTACCAAGTTGGATCTAGTGGACTGATCCTGACACAGCTCCCAGAGACGTCAGTATACATCCTGCTAACACATTGGAAACATGGGTAAACAAACTAGTAAACACTGAACCCCATGTACTCTTAACTCACATTTATACATCAATCAGTTTTAAATGCTCAGATGACAGTGCCTGGTCTTCATAAACCTGTCAGGTCCATATTTATAAATGTCCTCTAGCAAGTAAGGATTGACAGAAATTACTTTGTTATGTCACATACTTCAATTGAAACTGCAGTAAACTGCACCTGCCAATCATAAGAGATGTAGAGAAAGGCAACAAACAAAAACAGAAAAGATTCTATGAGTAATAAACAGATTAGAAGAAATTTTGGAGCAGTTCCCACGGTTAAATTAATTTTAAAACAAAGACTGAAATGATTCTGCCACCTAATGAGAATAAACCAAACTATAATAGACCAGACCGTGTTGGCAGCGAGAGCATACATCATGAAACTGGAAATACCAAGAGGCAGAGGGATGCTTAGAAGAAGTTGGATTAAAGGAGTCACTGACGGCCTAGCACTTGAAAACATCACGGTTTCATCTAGAAATCGAGAATGCCCTGGCTCAGCTACCAATCATCTGTTAACCTGTGACACCGAGCCTCACAAAGCAGACATTGACAGAAGAGAAGATAAGTAAGGGAACATTTTCCACACCATCAGCCACACTGGGCTTATGGTGCTACTCCCCTGTTTTTATAAGCTTTTATTAAGGTTGCTTTCATTTGTCTATTTCATTCTTTTTAGACCAGTTGGCACCAAATGGCTGATATGATAAGCGTCATGTCTATTGTCTTTATTTCCTGGAGAATCTTCTGGCAAATATTTTTTGGGTTCACCTGGTAGTTGAGGTCAGCTGATAGTCATTTTGATAGATATGTAATTTCAAACTCTAAGGTTTGAGGTTTTGTACAACGGATCAGCTTCAGGGCACACGGGTAGTAACCCATAAGTGCTCCGTTCTTCTTCTAACTCGAGTCCCAGTCCGAAGAAGCTCAGCATAGTTCATAGGCTCTGTAGCACTGGCGGGGATCCTGAAATACTTTGGGTAGATTTTTAATTCCAAATTTAGCCCGGGCAGCACCGTTAGGCTATTCTTTTCGATTTTCAACACCCCCCAATATTGAAATGTGATAAATTATGTTCTAGTCCTTTCTTGTCATATGGTCATGCAAATTGTTTTTGGGATCAGGGTGAGGCATATGTTTGTATACTTTCCTCCTCATGTCTCCAGTGGTTAATCTTTTTTCTTTATAAATTGCTTGGCCATTTTGAAACTCAACACTTCTTTGAAACAGGTCACAAGATATCTTATTTTTCTGTCTCTAATTCATCTATTTTACAAGTATAAGTGTAATATTTCTTCTTAACTTTATCAATTGCAGCAGGTAAATTTAGGATATCTCATGAAGAACCTTCATTGAATTTTAAGAAAACAGAAGTAGTGGTTATATGAAAGAAGAAGAAGATTGTAAAATCTTAATTGAATGAAAAAAGACTTAACCAAGTCAATAAATTCAAATATCTGGGAACAGTCATATCAAAATGTGTGACAGAGATTAAAAGCAGAATAGGTCAAGCGAAAGCTGCATTTCAGAAAATAAAAAATATCTTATACAATAAGTCACTTTTTTTTTAAATGTCAGAAAGAGGGTGCTAAAATGTTACATAAAACCAGTTCTGCTGTATGCAGCAAATCTTGGAATGTCAGTGAACAAATTAGGAAGAATCTGGAAGCAACAGAGATGAGGTTTCTGAGACGAATGTTACAAATACCTTGAACAGCCAGAGTAACTTACAATGATTGTTTGAAAGAAGCTAATGAAAGTAGATCTCTATATACAACCATAAGAAAGAGACACACACTGTTCTTTAGCCACGTAATGAGAAGAGAGGCATTGGAGAAGATTGTGATAACTGGAAAGATCAGAGGAAAAAGAGGTAGAGGCAAACTGAGAGAGATGATGCTGGATGGGCTGAAACGATGGCATGGAGGGATATCATCAAGAGAGCTGTTCCAGGCTACCAGGCATTGTGATCTGTGGAGACGCTTGAGCGCCTACGCCAGTTGGCAGGGCACATGAGGATGAAGATGAACTTTAAATGTTTCTAGCTTGTGTAGTTCCACTTAGATCAGATAATTTTAGGGTTTTACAGTCTTTCATTAACACTATTATTGAACAGAAGGAACTAAACTAACAGCTAGCCAGGGTTGGCAGAATGTGTTAATTTAACCTTGTCTGTGACAGAACAAAGTCAGCAAATGTACTTTTGTTGTTGTTGTTGACTTAGTGCATGTATGAGGAGTTGTTTGGTCTTGTATTTTTCCCCAGACCTCAGCCAGTGCCCTGGTTTGGTTGAGATTACCAAGAGCACACCCAACTGGAAGAAAGACATGATTGAGAAGAAGAATCAGGAAAAGATTGAAGAGTATGTTGTAAGTATCATCATCATCATCATCATCTTCATTTAATTCTTTCAGGCTCATAAATTTTGACAGGCTTGGCTTGTGTTGGCTCGGTGGTATTAAAAATGTAGTCTAATATATTTCCAGTCCCTACAAAATTATGGATTTTTAAAAAGAGGAATGAATCTACATTTGAATCTGATGATATCTACTTGTTTAATGCTGTTTTAGTAGGGAGGCAAAGAATTCAGCAGATGTTGTGTTTACAAAGACCAAATTTTACAAACCAATTCTTCACTCACCATGGTTTTCCAGCCAAAAGAGGAGTTAATTTCCAAATTTGAGAATAAAACTTTAATGTTTGTTCAAATGCCTAACAAATTCAAAAGTTGTGATAAGTTTCTGGGTTAGTTTATCACTCAGAGGCTCTATGTTCTTATAGAGTGCTGAACAAAATTTCACAGAAAAAAATAAACCATTACACACATATTTTGTGTGTGCAACTATTACATACTTTAGCTGCAATATTTCTGTGAAGCTTAGCCATAGTATGGTACTGTTTGAAACAGTCTTTTGGATGCAAATGTGGGTAACTATCACATCCTTCACAAATGAAATGGGTCCTCCTGGGTTTACCTCATCAGAACTGCTACAATGTCATTAAAAAAAATCATCTGACTGAAGCAATTTCAGAGCTTCAACCGCAAAAAGCACATTTTGTAGCCTATATTTGTGTTCACAACATGGTCCATGGTCAGTCAAAGACGAAATTGAAAACTTTGCTGTCTGAAAATGACCCTAGGACTGAATTGGATAAAAATATTTTATTGTTAGTTAAAGACATTAAGAACTAATACAGAACAGCATGCAAATCAATATGTGAAGAACCCACGATCGACGTAGACTGTATGGTCTGGGCAAATCAAAACTTCTCAGTCAACACATACAGCGCTGCTCTGGCCTGAAAATCATCATTACGGTCTGAGGAGAATGGCCCTGCGAGGATTTACCAGGGGATTTGGCCGACGCTCAACACTCAAAGGAGACAGACATACAATCAGACGGTCACTGGTGCCATCGGAATTGTAACTCTTCGCTTTCTGCTGAAGATGGGGACGGAGCGCTTATGGGGGTGTCCAGAGTGCTGTGGGGAGGAGAGAAAGAAACTGACATGAGAGAAAGTGAGAGAGAGAGACTGACTGAGGGACACGTTGAATGAGAAAGAATGGAAAGAGAGGGTGAGACAGAGAGATTGACTGAGAGAAAGAGAGAGAGAGAGAGAGAGAGTCTGACTGATTGACTGACAAAAAAAAAAGAGTATAAAGATGGTCATGTGATAAAATTAGTTTTCAAAGAAATAAAGTCAGAAAAATTTCAGAAGAAACGTATGACAAATTATTTCAAATAATTCTACAAGATCACAGAAAGAATTTCAAATGTTCAGTAGCCAGATATTACTCAGCTTTCGTGGGTTAAAATAGGTTGAGTCAAGAATTGACATCACAGCACTGGGAGCATTCCCATGTGTGCTCCATCTTCATCTTTAGCAGCCATTGCAGTTCCAGTACTGATAGTACCGGTACCTGGATTAGAATGTATTCGGACAGAGAGACTTCAGAATATGTTGCCTCACTTTATAAACAACTAAGGTATATTAAAAATAAGAACACTAAAAAAACTAGAATTTTTATTTTAAAAAGTACTTGTTTAACATGGATTTCCTTTAGAGAAAGCACTTGTAGCATTTTAATTGGGTGGGGGGGGGTGTCCCCATTTTAATGTTTGCTTCTCTATACAACTGTAAGCACATTCATTTTTATGCACTAACTATAATCAAAAAGTATTGAAGGGTAATTTGTTGCATATTTTTGTGACGGACTTGTATGGATAACCAGTCATTACAAAAACTGTATGTAATATAAAACTTGTAAAGTTTAGTCTTAGTCGAGGTTCCAACATTCCTGCAGTTGAGTTTCCCCAAACTTGCCCTGTTTCTGTGCCAGTGCAAATCAAATTAAATGTCTCTCTGTGTCACATTTAAAAAACTGGTGAACAAACAATTAGCCCCGAAACAATCCAGAAATATGCGCACACAGCATTGTAAAGTTTTCAAAGGTTTCCTTTAGTAAAGTTTATTTTGTAAAGTTTATTTTGCTAAAACAATGCTTCACCAACTCTCTCTAGTATAACCTATTAACTCTACAGAAAGCAATTTTGAAAGAGCGAGAACAGCAGGCTAAATGGAAGAATGTGCCAGAATGGAAAAGAAAGATTTTACTGAAAAAGGAAGAGGAGGTAGGTAATATAAGGGAAGTGATTCTCTCTCTCTCTCTCTCTCTCTCTCTCTCTCTCTCTCTCTCTCTCTCTCTCTCTCTATATATATATATATATATATATATATATATATATATATATATATATATATATATATATATATCTCGTGTGTGTGTGCATGTGTGTGTTATTTTCTTTCTTTTTTTCACTATTTATTTTCGTAAATCAAATTATGTTGTACTGTGACTTAGTATGTTTGATTTAGACTGGCATTTGGGGGGGAGGGGGATTTGGTTATTTCCAAGTATACTTATTAGACAGCAGGATTGTGTTTCTCTTAATTAGTCCATCCCTTTCAGTCAGTCTATCTTTTGGGGTTCTGGAAGTATTTACATTTGTCCTGTCATTGCATTTCTGCTATCATATATCTTGAGAGTAGAGGAGACCTGGCATCATGAGCGCTAGTAGACTGAAATGGTTGGGGCATATTGAGAGAATTTCAGATGACAGAGAAGTGAAAACTTTATACACAAGGGAGATGAATGGTTGTAGACCATGAGGGAGACCAAGAAGTCGATGGAGAGATAATGTCTATATGACCTGCAAACAGTTGGTGTCACCAAATGGAAAGAGAAGGCTAACCAGAGAGATGAATGGATGCAGGTGATTTCTGCAGCAATGAACCTCAAGGGCTCAGAATGCTGAAGCAGAAGGCCACCCAGAGAGATGAATGGAGGCAGGAGATATCTGCAGCAATGAACCTTAAGGGCTCGGAATGCTGAAACAGAAGGCCACCCAGAGAGATGAATGGAGGCAGGTGATATCTGCAGCAATGAACCTTAAGGGCTCGGAATGCTGAAACAGAAGGCCACCCAGAGAGATGAATGGAGGCAGGTGATATCTGCAGCAATGAACCTCAAGGGCTCGGAATGCTTAAGAAGAAGTAGAAAAGGAGACCCACAGTGCATCACTTCAGAATGGAGACACAGGTGAAGAGATCTGGTCTTCCATAGCTTGTTTTATTTTGGATTGCATGGACTTGTTAACAAATAATGTTCCTTACCTGTGTTGTCAGATTGTCTCAAGAAGATTGTCATGCCTTGCAGTCTCTCACAACCTAGGAGGTAGCTGGTCCATCACTTCACTGGTCTTGATTTTGTACATATCTGTCATTTTCAGAGTGCCAGATACTTCTTCTCCTAATCCTTATCCCACCCCAGGTCTTCTGTTTCTGTCTGCATATGCCCTTGAAAGGACATTTGTAGTGTACATTCAGACTGGGATTTTTGGCCCAACATGTCCAATTTCAGCAAACCCCCAATTATTTGCCTTTTATAAAATGTTTTTTTTGTGTGTGTTCCTGGCCATCTTCTGAGTACTCCCCACAAAACCTCTAGGAATAAGCTTGAGAATAGAACCCGTTTATAGGTTTATATACATATACAAGCTTAAAAAGAACACGAGAAAACATTGTAATATTATTAGTTTGGCTTATGTAGTTGATAGGCTTATATAATCTCTATAATCTTATCTTCTAATGAAAAGAAATAATAATACATTCTAGAATGTTTTAGAGGGGTGGGGTAGAGGTGGCGGGGGCTGCTGCTTAGGATGCCCCATTTTCACCTCAAAATTTTGTGGGAAGAAATAGAGAGAACAATGTAGAAACAGAAAGTACAACAGAAACTGCTCACGTTTTAGCTGGTAAATGTCCAATATGTGTCCACATAATCAACTACAAATTAGTGAGTAAGCTTAACCAGCATATTCTTCTTGTCCACCCAGTATATTCACAATATTATCCTTGTCCATCCAGTATATTAGCAATATTAGCCTTGTCCATCCAGTATATTAGCAATATTCTTCTTGTCCACCCAGTATATTAGCAATATTATCCTTGTCCATCCAGTATATTAGCAATATTAGCCTTGTCCATCCAGTATATTAGCAATATTCTTCTTGTCCACCCAGTATATTAGCAATATTATCCTTGTCCATCCAGTATATTAGCCATATTATTCTTGTCCACCCAGTATATTAGCAATATTCTTCTTGTCCATCCAGTATATTAGCAGTATTCTTCTTGTCCACCCAGTATATTAGCAGTATTATTCTTGTCCACCCAGTAAATTAGCAGTATTATTCTTGTCCACCCAGTAAATTAGCAGTATTATTCTTGTCCACCCAGTATATTGGCAGTATTCTTGTTGTCCACCCAGTATATTGGCAGTATTCTTGTTGTCCACCCAGTATATTAGCAGTATTATCCTTGTCCATCCAGTATATAAGCAATATTCTTCTTGCCCACCCAGTATATTCACACTATTTTGCGAATGGGAGCCCATTTTGAATCTGTAATATTTAAATTATAAAATATTAACATCAGATATAATATAAATGAAGAGATAATAGGACATACAGTGTCACATTTTTTCCTTCTTACTTTTGATATGCTGCTAAGAAAACATCACTTATAAGTAAATCAAAAGTGACAGCCATATTGCATCTGCCTACGGTCGACTTTGTTCGCCTTTGGGTTAGCCTATGGTGCAGAGCTGAGTGGGAGTGCCTTATTGCCCAGTAGCTGGAGAATGCCTTGCCCCAACCCACATGAGGTACTGTCACCATTGATATTGAAGCTCTGCACTGGCTACTGGAGAGGGGGACAAGTGCATATGAAAATGTATTGATTACTGTGAAATCACTTCTTAACTCAGCGTAACTGATTAATGTTTGCAGTAATTTTATCTTTTTTTTATTTATTTTTTATTTTTGTAAAATATTTTGCATTTTCTCAACTAGGCGTCAATCGGTCTAGAACTGCAGTTGTTTGCATAGTATTTGCTCTGTTTGAGCAACTTGCATGTTCAAAATGTACTCTGTAATCATCTGCCCTTTTCCCCTTATTGGAGCATTGGCTGTCAACTGCTTGATGAAGTCATCACAGGTGCCATAATTATCACTTCCTTGGAGGTTGAACAAGGTATCTAGGATTTGTCCTGTTGGTTTGTCATCCAGGATAGGACTCTTGAAGTCACAGGGGTATTCAAATGATCAGATGGCAGCTGTGAGAGACAAAAATGGACAGACAGGCAGAGTTGCTGTATGAACTCCTACAGAAGAAAAAGTTCAACTACTTGAGATACATACAAACTAAAGCTTTCGGACTTCCCCACTTATAGGGGAATGGGCTAAAGAGGTGGGGCTTCATAGGTATAAGGCTTATTTAAGTGCATAATAATAATAATGTACTGATGTAAATATATATATAATAATATATTGAAAATAATATAAAATAAATTAGCAAATATATATATATTTAAAAAGACAATTTTTTTATACCTGGGTATGGGGCCACTTAGAGCCCTTAGACCCC